TTTTTAATATATATTATTATTTTTTAAATATATTAATATAATATTATTTGTTTAAATATATATTATTTAGAGCAATGGTGCCATTGTCAATAAGGAAAGCTGTCACTTCAAAACTGTTTTCTATTATTTAATGGCGACACTTATAATTATATTCTATTCTATTCTATGAAAGCAAAAAAAAATTTATACACATGCTGATAATGCGAATGATAATGAACTATATAATTTGAATATTTTTTTTACTAATATGTTAATAGTTATTTGACCAATTATGTTTTGTATAAAATTAATCATTATAGAATTTAATTTAGATAAATAATTGTTGGACGTATAAATATCATTAAAATTGTTATTAATAATATTTACGAAAATAGTATAATAGTAAAATAAATAATGAAAAAATAGCTAAAATGAAATACCCTGTAAAAATAATAAAGAAAATAATAAAGATTATATACATTCTGAAAAGTCTATTGTTACAAATGAATTTTTTATTTAATTATTACATGTAAAATAACTCTTTTGCATGGATAATTAATTAAAAATTCATAAATATTGAAAATTAAAATCAGAAACACGATTCTATTTTTCATTTTGTCATAATGTAATCTTAGTGATATATAAATTTGTTAATGTAAATTTCTTTAAATATTTAATTTACAATTTATTATATTTAATTATAATTTTAATATAATATTATAATATAATATTATAATATAATATTAAAATTATATATTATAATATAATATTAAAATTATAACTAAATATAGTAAATTGTAAATATATAATTGTACAAATTTTTTATAAATTTTTTAAATTAATAAAGCTTTTAATTATTCAAGATTGTTAGAAAAAGTCACAAATTAAAAAATATAACTTTATAAAGAGCAATTAAGAATTAAGCATGAATTATACAGTAAATGATTATCAGTTAACGTTTTTTACGATGCAAATTTGTTTTTAATTAATATTATATGTAATAATTTATTGTTATTATTAAGAGTTATTATTATTATTGCAAATCATAATTATAAATTAATAAGTAGATTTGTTAAAATTAACTTACTTTAAAGAAATCAAATGTAGATCCTGTGGCTTTTGCGCCATATTTTATATCTTTCTTTTTGGCTAATTCCTCAACATTATCAAAAGGTGATGTGACAGTTTCGACTGTCAAGAATGCTGCCAAATTGGCTGTATAACTTGATACCATTATGAGACAAAAGAACCACCAACAACTTGCCATCATTCTTGTAGAAATGCCTCTGTATACAAATGTATATAATTTAAATTTTGAAATTTTATTTTACTTTAATAATTTTTATTTCTCAATACATAATATTTTTTTAATTAATTTATATAATTTCTCAAAAATGGCAAATAATACTAAATAATAATAAATATTTAATATGTAAAACAATCTAAAATTACGTACATAATATAATAGATGGAATCTATATAATGTAATATTTAAAGAGAAAAGAATATGTATTTATTTTTATATTATAAAATTATTTAAAAAATGCAATGTAGATTGTTACACATTTTTAAATTATTACTTAAAATTATTATTTAAAAATTTAAACGTTTTTGTAATAATGCGTTTATGTAATAATTTTTGTAATAAATTTTGCAATATGTAAATCTAATATATTGATTATAATATAGTAATATTTTATAATGTTCAAAAATATTTTGAACTAACATAGGTGCTATCTCACTGCCCTGTTGCATAATACTGCCTATTGTAAACCAAAATGCATTTTTAAAAGTAAACTGATTCTCGAGAACTTCGGCTTCTTCAATGCAAGGGTAAGGATTATTCCATTCTGCAGGGCACAGTCTGCCAATTACGAAAAATAACAATGATACTGTTGTATAGACTCCAATTAAATACATATAGACATCGTTTGAAAACGGTGATAAAAATGAAAACAAACTCGGCGGTGCTTCCCTTGGTTTTTTGTACAAAATACTTATGCCTGTAAAATTATATATAATTTTTTAATATTCAGACTATGAATTATTATGTGTTTTATGATATATATATATATATATATATATATATATATATATAGAGAGAGAGAGAGAGAGAGAGAGAGTA